AGCTATTTACCCCCAACATGTTTTGAAAGCTCCAGGAAGCCATCATGTTTACCCTTGGTACCATTTATTTGGAGTCTTAAAAAATGATGACATTTAGCATTATTTGGCCCTTACTTGTTTTCAACTGGAAACATTGTTCTGGACAGGTGCAGGGACTGACATCATGAGTACCACAAGGACTAGCAAATCAGCACTTTGCACAGCTGGAGAGGGGTTCTAAAAGCTGGAAAAACCCGTCTCTGCTCAGCTCAAATCAGTTTGGACGTCAGTCCCAAAAGAGCTTGAACAGCAATCTTGCAGTGGTGACATCATTCCTGCCAGATGTGCCTGTACACCCTAACCCTAACCCTTCCCTGTTTCCAGTTGGTTCTCATTCCCCCACCCCTGAAAAAGATCATCTAGTGATTTCTTGGATTTTGTGCAATTTCTTCCCCATTCAAAAGAGCTGACATGCCACTCTTAGGGCTCAGCTCCTGGCAATAAGACCTTTAAGCCAAACTTTGCTTTCAGTTTTCTATTTTGGCACCATTCCTTTTACTTTCAGCTCCACCCACCACTAGGGTGCACCCCCTCCTGCCTAGAGCTTCTCCAAAATTGAATCCAGTCCTTATGTTGAAAGAGGTTCAAAATTCAGGTTAACCACTCCTTTTGGCAAGAGGGAGCAATTGGGAGCAATCAGGAAGCATGGACCAGCACAGTGAAGCCAGAATCCTTCATAGTTCTGGCATATTATGTGCAAAAGCTGCCAATGTCTCTGAGCATGTGCCAAGTGCTTTCTTCTTTTCATCAAGCAATTACATCTGAAACTAGAAGGCAGATGTTTAAGCCTCAGGGTGTCTCATTCAAGAAATTAAGGACTAACAGCCCCATTAATGAGTAGGTACAAACCAAAAGGTTAATAAACTAAAGGTTTATTAGAGGATTCTGCAATGTTTTATGCCAAGGTATGGGCTGTGGGCATCAACACTTGAAAAACAAGCAAAGTCTTCCTTGAAACCACAAAATCAGTTTGGAGAAAGCCTCACTATTTGAAATGACATCAGCTGTCAACTTTCCTCAGGGCAAGCAGCTCAAACACTACATCTCACAGCTTAGCGATCTGACTTGCAAACATTCCTAAGTAGCTGAAATAAAACCAGACAGCTTGATTGTGCCACAATGAATTGGCATGTACACATGTGCTCATATAAATATATTATATAAAGTTAGCCCTTTCTGCTGCTTCTCACCAGGAGAGCTCAGCTCCAAAGACTCCGATGGAGCAGACATTCTGTCTCCTCCACAGCAAGTACACTCTTATTTACAGCATGCAGGGTCATGGGACAGCCACAGTTCTGGCCATCAAATTGCCCATCTTTCAACATGGCACGGAGAGCCTTCCAGATTTTCCTGGACCTACTATTATTGTGCAGATTCTCCGTGCAATGCATAGGAAACCCTTGTTTCGCTTTATATAGGTCAAGAACCAGACATTCCCATTTCTATCACATTCAGCCGGGCTTCGATAAAAGCATAAAAACAAGGCATGAAAAAATTCCAATGGGAGCCTGGGAAAATAAGCGCAGATGTCTGATTGCCCATACTGAGAAGTGCAGGACAGCTGAGATCAATCTGTAGCATGGACAAGTTCAGGGGGATGGGACTTGTTCCCACCACTCAACAGAGAAGGAAACTCTGGCAGTGCAGAAAGAAGGTTTGCTTAGCCATGTAGCCCAGCAATAGGCCTCTGGCGGAGAAAGAAGACAGTCTTATTTTTCTGCATCCTGTTCTTTAGCCCACAGGATCACCAAAGGCAACCACAACGAACAACACAAGTTAGCTTCTCCTCGGTTTAAAGCAGTGCTGCCAAACCTCCTTCAGCCCATGGGCTGAATTCAGTTTCAGGTAAGCTTTCAGAAGCAGGTCCAAATGCATATCCAAATGCCAGCATATTTTAGTTTAAAGCTTTTCCTGCCAGTAACTCAGCCTTAAGAGAAGAATGTCGATCTCTGGCAACGCAGAAGAGCTGCACAAATGCCATATGAATGGCATTTGGGGAAAAGGGGTAAGGCCTGGGAAAGGTCACTTGAGGACTCCTGGAAGGTTGAACTGGGACTGGATTTGACCTGTGGGTCTGAGGTTCAACACCCCTGCATTCAAGGCTCCCCAGGCATGCCTCCCAGCTTTCATCCGATAGGTTCTTCCACCCACAAGGAACACCGGAGAGCTGAGAACATGAGTTATGTGGAGGGGGTCATTCCTTTGGTAGGACAAGAACCTGCAAATGCCCCTCAGAGGCTCTCTTTTCCTGGCCCTGGAACTGCAATCCCTTCCCAACATCCAAAACTAATTTGCAGGGATAATTTCCCGGTTGCAAGCATAACCACCCCATACCCTGAAATGAGCCACCTACGAGGGCAGTGCAGCATAAGTAGATGATGATGATGATGATGATGATGATGATGATGACGACGACGACGACGACGACATTTCTATGCACACAGCTCTGAGTGCCCAGAGGCTCACTCTGTGTTTGCCGTCAGCTGTCACTAAAATGGCCAAAGGCTGGCTCAGCAGAAAGCAGATGACTCACAGAACTATTCCCTAGCTTGTCTTGGGGTTTTACTTTAACTCTGGCAAAATATTCCATCTCAGACCTTGAGTAAGGTTTAACCATACCCAGGAGTAGTAGAGGTTCATCCCCAAGAAACAAGTTCTCATTCATCCAACCTGTCTCCTCCTCCACCACCACCCACCCACCCAGCCGCTGTCTTTTCCTCACACTGGCAGCTGCTGTTGCTACTACAACCTAATGTGTAAAGCAGATGAGAGTGGGGCATGCCAGATGTTTTGGTCTGCAGCTCCCATGAGCCCCAGCCAACACAGGGATCATGGGAGTTACTCACCAAAATGAGTTGCTGCCCTACAGAAACAAAATAAAGGTTATCTCTTATCTAAATCAGCCAACTGCTGATGATGTAGCAAAGCTCCTGTTTTGTTTAATCAATGTTTTGACAGGAATTTCTTCCTGTAACCCAGAGAAACTTTGTAGCAAAGCACTCTTTAATATTTACCAACATACATTTCCTCTTAAATTATCTACCTGCTTCCTGGAACTTAACACATGGTCAGCATAAATGGATTCTTCAGGACCTATTGATTGCTAAAAGACTGATATTACAGGTTTGGAAGAATAGATAATCATTGCTCTTGGTGCAATGGACTATTTAATTTCTGTACTGCCCAACAGCTTAAGCTTTCTGGGCAGTATACAATTACTATAGTACACTAAAAGCAACCTAATATATAAATAATAATCATAACATTCCACTAACAATTCAAAAAGCACATTTTAAGATACAGTGAAATCAAGTTCATATGGCTAGGCCTGTTAAAAGCATTAACTCCCCCACTATATATTTTTCTTAGAGCAGTTAAATGCCTTGGCTTATTATCATTATTATATTATATTACATTTATATTCCACCTTTGTACCACTTGCAAGGAACCCAAGGCTCCTATAAGGCTCTCCTCCTATCCTCAAACAACAGCTCTGTGAGGTAGGTCAGGCTGACAGTACATGATTTATTCAGAGTCACCTGGTGAGCCTCATGACTGAGTGGGGACTAGAATTTGGATCTCCCAAGTCCCAAATCCAACATCACAGTGGCTCTCATAAATAGCATAGAGCATACTTCTATCCTGGCACTGAAAAGATAGCAGAGGGGGCCTAAGAGAGGAAATCATTCCATAATTTGGGGGCTGCCACAAAGAAGGCCCTTGTCATTTTTGCCACCAACTGAGCCTTCCTTGGAGGTGGCACTCAGAGGAAAGCTTCAGATGCTGAGGGCAATGGCCAGGTAGACTGCAGCTGGGAGAGGTGTTCTGTCAAGTATTGCCATATCAAGCCCTGAGAACCTAATGATGCTTTCAATACTTGAACAGGTATGTGGACACCACTTGCATATGAATATATACATGGATGTTTGGTCTACATTTGTTAAGGTTTATGTTGAATTTTATATGTCTATCTGAATACACAGACACTTGTCACAGGTATCAATCAACTGAAATTGATATACTCAGATTTATGTAGTTACATGAGGTGTGTTTTGTTTTCTTTTTCCTGATTTTTTGTGGTTTGTTTTGTTGAAACTTAAATTAATATTAATTAATACAACAGTCCAGAATAAGCAACTGTGTGGCCTCCAGATCTTTTGAACTACATCTCCCATAATTCCTGGCTATTAGCAATGCTGGTGTTGATGGGAGTTGTAGTCCAAAAGATCTGGCAGGGAAAAGTTGCCTATCTTGCTAGAGAAAATGCCTACAGGAACCAGGAAGCCATGATCGCTGTTTCCCACTTAGTCCTGGAGCCAATTCATTCAACCAAACTTGCATGGTAAGAATCTGGGCTTGTGCTGAGCTCCATGCATCACTATACAGCCAGTTCATATACCCACTTCCACTATTGGGAAGGAAACATAGTTCAATGCGAGAGCTCACACTTTAGTTCGCATGCAGAAAGTCCCAAGTTCTGTCCTTTGCAACTCCATTTGCAAAGACAAAAGGATCAGGTAACAAAAGTTCTTCTCAAGACCCCAGAGACTCTTCACTAGAATACTAGATTACATGTACTCCACAAAATGGAAGCCCCTAACACTGTTCAGCTGCCCCATCTTTCCCTCCTTCAGTAGTACAAACCATGACAGGCCCTGTGGGAGAATACAGGAGGACTGCAAACGGGAGATGACAATGTCTGGACCCCAGGCAAAGCTCCCTGAAGGAGGTAAGGGAACTGCACAATAAGACCATCACTTCACAGTACCCAAATATGCGGACTCCATCTCAAACTGCTGCCTAAAGAGAATGGACTCAAAGAAGTCATGGGAAAGGTAGCTCAGCCTGCAAAAGTGGCCCACCCACCTTCTCCCCACTGCACTTCAGACTTGGCTTGCTTTGTGCCAGCAAGGAGCAAACCCCAGCCAGCCCAACGCCTCCCACCCCCTGCAACCTCTTACCTTGAGCTTCTCGAACCGATCGCTCAGAGACGCCACCTGGTGATCCCGGTGCCGCCCCACCAGTTTGCATAAGGCACAGATGAGCTGGTCATCAGCCACACAGTACATGTTCACCTTCTCGTTCTCATGCTCGAGACAGGTCAGCCCGCGGAAGTGGGCGTCCGGCACCGGCTCCACCAGCCGGTGGCTGGTGAAGGGCTTCTTGTTGGGGTGCGTGGCTCGCAGGCAGCGGTCGCAGTAGGAGACCTCGCAGGTGATGCAGGTCTTGACGGCGTCCCGCGGGGGATCCTGCTCGCAGAACTGGCATGCGATCCGGTCGCCCGCCGTCGACATGGTCGGGCTCTGGCGATAGAGCCGCTCACGGCAGTTCTCACCGGGGGAGTTGGGCCCACTGAGGGAGGCCTTCTGGAAGCGGTCGATGATGTTCTGCAGGGTTACATTGCGCTTGAGGCCCTCCAGGCCCCGATGGTTGAGGGAGATGACATAGCGGCACGTGGGACACTGGAAGGCGCCCAGGGGCTCCAGGGGCTCGCCGGAGGAGCCGCTGGAGGCCAGGATGCGGTGGGCGCAGCTGAAGCAGAGGCTGTGAGCACACGGCAGCAGCAGGGGGTCTTCAAACAACTCTAGGCAAATTGGGCAAGTCAGTTCTGACTCCAGTGTTTCCATCTTTAGTTAAAACAAGCTGGCTCCGGCCTTAAGAGTGAGGGGGGCAGGTCAGCCACCTGGAAGAGAAAACCAGAGAGGAGGGGAGAGAAAGCAGAGAGGGAATTATTCATTGCAAATCATCTGCACCTTGCACTTCATGATGACCCCAGAGAGAAATGGAAAGAGGGACTTGTATAGTGCTACCCAAAAAAGGCTAAACTAAACGCTACAGTAAGTAAGTAGCATGCAGCTAGTCCTTGGTGTTTTAGATACATTAGTGTAAGTACACTGAGCCCCAAAATCCAGATCAGGGCCAGCACACACAAGTGGAGGAGGTTTAAACATTCCACACAGCTACTTATTCCTCCCCCAAACATCACCCTCACCGCTTGGGATTTGGAAAAAAGGAACTCCATCGACCATTATGGGGCTGATATTTTGATTTGGTTCTTTTCGCCTCAGCAGGGTGGGACAGGGTGATGAACTGCTGGGTGGAAAGGTTTCAATCTCCCCCGTCCATGCACAGTGGCCACAATCCAGATTGCGAGCCTGCACGCTTAGACAAAGGCAACCAGATAGCCAGGCTCCATCGCATGATCAATATTCAGCATAGCATCTTGCTTAGCCTGTAGCTGAGGGCAGCTCTGGATCTTCGTTCTTCCACGAGCTTGTTCCAAGACCCATGCAGATGGCATGGCACCCACTTCCCGTCTCACATCCCTGCACCACTGCACAGGGCAATTTACAACCCCAAGAACCTTCCCCTGATTATGTCCCTTGAACCAGCCATTAATGCTCCTGAACTGCAGCTCAGCTGTCCACACCCCGACACACAGCCAGAGTGCAAGGCGGGGCAGGGGCCAGTAACTCAAGCACCAAAACAGGTGGGATGCAGGAGTCTGGTGAGAAGGAGAGGCTGTGATTTAGGGACAAGGCAGCAGGTTTGCCTGCAGGAAGTTCCAGATTCACAATCTGGCCTCTCCAAAGAGGCTTGGGAAGACCCGTATCTGAAACACTGGGGAGTTCCTGACAGTCATTTTAGAGCTGGACAAACATAAAAGCATTCCCTTTATTAGATATTACTGCTATTTTGGACTTTCCATTGGAGGGAAAAGTGGATATAAAGAAATGAGGCTGATGGCTCCCCTCCCCACTTTCAAACAGTCACCACTGGGTGGGGGGGGGTCGTATCTGAGCCATATCACTGGTGCTTAACCCTGCCCCGAAATGTGCAAACCCCATTACCATGCCAGCATCCAAACCCCACAAGCTGATCAAAAAGATCGATGTTTATACAGTCAAGTCAGTCAACATTCAAGCTCATGTTCCAAAACCATCACAATATTATTTATTCAGATGAGCTACAAAACGCACAAAATCAAGGATGCCTATTGGGGAAACAGCAGAACGGCTGCGAACATCTTCATATCTTCATATCCACACGGCTTGTCCCACAACTGAGACAAAGGTGTGACGAACAGGCTCAAACAGAATATTTGCGCTTATGGTGGGGGTGGAGGAGAGAAAACCAACAATGCAGCGAACAGCAACAAAGCCTCCCCTTTGGCAGAGGATGGAAAACTGACAGCAGAGGAAAGAGCTGAACAAAGAGAGCACAATCATTGCCTACATTTCTATAACCCATACAAAAGGCTGGTAATGGGGTGCACGGGTTCCTTTCATGCTGTTTTTCTACTAAAGTGGGGACAATCAAAGCAAGAGGGGGATTAAAATGCCGGCTTCCTGAATTTTAGATGGATAAAAAGCTGCCTCATACCAAGTCTAAACACTAACCTTATAACATGAAGAACTGGTGCTGTTTCTCCCCTGCTGTTTTCCCCTTTTTCTTTCTGTGTCATGTCTTTTTGGGGTTTAAGGAAACCTTAGATAAAATCCAGAGAACCCATAACAAGACTAGAAAAATATTGCTACAGGAGAATGAAAGTACTATAAAATAATCATTCAAATGTACGAGCTGAAGTCAAAAATCACTAATATAAATTGTACATATACATGACTCGCAACTATGAACTGGGTCTGAGATGACAAGATCTCCTGATGACATCCTATTTCATTACTTCATCAAAACCACCTAAGAAATGTTGGCACAGAAGGCAGCTGAAAATGACCCTAAGCTGCTTGACTATCTCTTCCAAAGACTTGTTATCTGACAGAAATCATCCAGAATGTCTTAACCAAGAGAACTGCCCATAAAGTTGGATGTTTTATTCCCAAAAGCCTCAATGTGAAAGTAAATTCACCAAAATTGTGGAAAATGTCTTCTTCTTTTTAAAGGAATAAGACTGAATGAAAACCACTTCTCTTACTTGCTACTGGTTTCTTTCATTTGTATTTGTCATGTTCACGGTTTTTAGATTGTACTCCTAACATCATGGACTATCGTGTTTTTATTTATCTGTAAACTGCTCTTTGAGCTTTCCCAGCTGAGATTGGGATATAAATGCTTTAAATAAATAAAGCCAGCAGGACCAGTGCTGGTTTCAAGATTTCATAGAATCATAGAATAGTAGAGTTGGAAGGGGCCATGAAGGCCATTGAGCCCAACCCCCTGCTGTTGCAGGACACCAGTTACACCATCCCACTCAGAGGGCTGTCCAGTTTCTTTTTGAATGTCTCTAAATCTGGGGGGCCCTTGAGCAAGACACCCTGAGTGGGCCCCTCCCTCAAGGACTCTGACTTGTCAGCAGCTACTCCTCTCCTCTTTCTTATCATTCAAGGATTCTCCTCCCTTCTCATGCGACCATTGTCTGAACCAGAGCAAGGAGCAGCCGAAGAAGCAGGCTGCCACAATGAAGAGGAGCAGCGGCGGCAGCAGCAACTGTGGGATCCTCTTGTCAGGGGGACTCTGCTAGAGTGTGGTCCCTTGGCAGCTGCCCAATCAAGCTTAATTTTGACACCAGCCCTTCTCATAGCCATCAGCTCTGATTGAGAGATGTCCTATGAAGCCGCTGAAAAAGTGGGGTCTTTCCCATTACCAGATTTTTAAAACAGAAGAACCAGGGACAAAGCCAGGAGCCAGTTGCATGCAGAGCATGTCTTCTCCATGTAATGCTTCAGCCTGGCTACCTACAGGGGCCAATTTCTCCACATTAAAAGAGCTAAAGATGACAGGTCAAAGCTTTTCTCAGTGCTTCTAGATGCATGATGGTGAAGGAGAAGCATCCAGATGACATAATCTTCCACCTTTTTCCCACCACTTCTTTGATCTTTTTCCTTCCCACAAAAAGGATGAGAAGACAGACTGCATCATAGTGTCTTCGACTTGGCAGCACCAGGAGAGGAGACTGGGTTAGAGGGAAAGATTAGGAAATCCTTCACATTCCAAGTCAGATACAAATTGCATTCAGGTGCCCACAAGTATGGCTACATGAGAAACTTGTTTCTGTTTGCGAGGTATGCAGGTGTGCTTTGTTCGAATCCGAGAACAGACCCGTGACCAAAGATCCTCCAAAAATGTCATATAGTCCAATATGCGCTTGCTACTTTCCCAGCTCAATTTTGTGCAAATTTTCCCTGTAAACCGAATCAAGAAAAGGTGCACAAATTAAGAAATTTGCACAAACGACATGTTTGATCACTACTCGATTTGCACAGTGTTTGTGTTTGTGCAAAGCAAGCAGCCATCCCAAATGCAAGGGGGAATCGGGTGCAAGACGAGCCGTGACACAATGCCTGGACCACCCTAACAAGCTCACACGCCGCTTGTTCGCCCGTGCCCATTGCCAAGCCGCCTGTCTCTGCAGTGTGCCAAGTCAGTATTCACACACCAGCCACCACGTGGCCCCATGACAATTCCTGCTAGTACAGTGTGTCTTGCAATAACGTGCCTCCTCTTGGAGTTTTTTTATAAGAACCGCTTCTCTTGCACAACCATTGGTATTGCACAACCAACAGGGAGGGACGGCACCACACCCAGACACACTCCTTATCCTTTCATCTTTAAGGGGCCGGTTCATATACACCCCTGGGAAACAGTCACTGTTGACTGACTGTGCATTCTGGCATACATCTTCTTCCACTGAAAAATAAGGGACTTTGGGATGCAGGCATTCCCCATGGCAGCACGTTGGTATGCACACAATATTTCTTCCTCACTGAGAAGGTTCAGAACAAACACCAAGACAAGAGACAGGAAAACTGTGACCTTCCACACATGGTTGGACTCTGACTCCCATCAACCATAGCCAGCATGGCCAGCGGACAGAGATTACAGGAGTTGGAGTCTAGCAATTCCTGGGGAGGGCATGGGCCCCCCACTGCTGCTATAAATACTTGGGCATACATGTGCAATGCACCGTTCACGCCCCTCCACGGGGATAAGCAGAGCTGTGTACTCCGTACTTCAGCTGCTATTATTATTATTATTATTATTATTATTATTATTATTAAACATTTCTGTCCTCAGAGTGCACGGCCAATGGTGAGGAATACTGTGAGTCGTGGTCCAAAAAGCCCAGAGAACATCAGGTTGGGGAGGCCATTGCATGGCTTACTTCTCACAAACAGCAGAGATGGTAAAGCATTTCTGGATGACGCCACTTCACAAATGAAGACAGGGGTTGCCATGACTGAATGCTTCTTCATGCACAGGGAAAACAAACCCCAGCACATAAAAACGCAACAATGCAGGCAGAAGGATCAAGTCACATCTTTCCTGAAACTTGCTACTTTCCCAAACACAGAGAGATTTAAGTTCTACATTTTGTATGAAGGAGCATTACATCGCATGAGCTCCTACCTACATTCTGAAATGATATTGTCAAAAAGCAGAATTTACCATCTTTTGATGCAGACACCGGCCACATTCAGGCATAATGATAACTACCCTTCCCCAATCAGGTGATCTCCAGGAGTCTAGCTTTAGTCCAACACAGTTGGGTATCATGTGAGGGAATCCTGCATAATCTGAATGATTATGTTGGGCAGAATCTGAATGAGACAGAGCAAGGCTCAGAGTTACACACTCCTCCTTTTCTTCCAGCTTCACTGATATTTCAGAAGCTTTTGCT